ATATCTGTAGGGTGGACATCAGGGGCAGGACCGTGGTGAGGTGGAATTGGTCAAGTCAAGCATCCTCTTCCTCTAGTCCAGGTGGGCTCTGGAGGTGCGGTCCACACTGCATCAGTGCTGCAGCTCTGAAGGAGACTGTGGCATCTCAGGACAGACCTGCTTATGTTCCCTCCACAGTTCCACTGTGCGTACCAGTTGGCCGACTGGTGTCTCCACCACATCTGCACCAACTACAACAACGTGTGCCGCAAGTTCCCCCGAGACATGAAGGCTATGTCCCCAGGTGAGCATCCAGAGCCAGCACCAGCAGCACCTGCTGCTCGCTACTTGTGTTGAAGCGCCCTCAGCTTGGGTGCACAGCTCAGACTTAACCCCAGGAACCCAAAGGAGGCCTGAGATCTTTGGGCCTCACTTGACCTTGGACATGGGAGCACCCTGCAGAGGTGTCTCTGGCCATGCAGAGAGGACCCTGGGAAAAGCACTGTCCTGGAGGGGGTGGGGAACTCAGGACCTCAGACGACTCACTCTACCTCTGTGGGCTTCTGTTTCTCAAAGGTTTGAAGAGGTCATTGGACCAGAGTTGGTAGTTTTCAGACTCTTTTGGATAGTACACCACAATAAAAATTATGTTTGATATCATGACCAGTATACACATAGAAAAGCATATAAAAAACAAAAAATGCTACACACGACCCACTAAGTTGATTTCCCAACTTAGGAACGGGCACGATCCACAGCGTGGACCACCCAGATCTAAATATCCCTTGCAGTCGCCTGCAGTTCTGTTTCTTCTTAATGATTTTCTTAGGTCCAAGAGCCCAACCCAGAATCCACGGGCTCCAGGGAGAGAAGTGCCTGGCTTCCCTGAGGGGTCTGCCACTCAGCGTTCCTGGGTCTTCACCAGGCTCCGTCCACTGGGCTCTGACCCTCTTCCCACTGCAGGGTTGTTGCTGCACCCGACCAGTCCCCAGCCCTGTTCTTTCCTGTGTTTTCACGTTTGTCACAACCATTCTGGCATTTTCTTTCTCAAGCCTTGCATCACTCCCTTGATCCCACTCCTTTCACAGTTTCCCACACCCTCCAGAATAGCCTGTGTCCTGCTGCCGCCCCTCCCTCCAGTCTGACCTGTGTCCTGCTGCTGCTCTTCCTCCTGATTCCCCCCAGAACCTTGGCTGCAGGGCCCCCTCACCCCTCAACCTTGCAGAGTCCCTTCCTGCTGGAGGCTGTTCTCCTCCCCTCCTCCCTCATTGGTCTTTCCTGTTTTTCTTCCCGACTTACGGGGTCCCTGACTTACTGTTTTTTGTTTTTTTGAGTGACCATGGTGTGAAAGCAATGCACATTGAATAGAAACTCAGCTTTCCATTTTGAATTTGGCTTTTTCCTGGGCTGCGATACTGGTCAGTGGCAGCCACTGCAGCTCCCAGTCAGCCATGCAACTGGGAAGGGAAATGACCACCATCCTGTGGTGCCCGGGGCTGCTAAGTGTCGTGCTCTGTAGGGAAGGGGGATCAAGAACATTTCCGGCTGATGATATTTTCCACTTACTGTGGGCTGATTGGGCTCCTCCCTTTGTTATCCAGAAGTGCCTTTCCCAGGCCGACTGTGACATCTCCCCTTTTCACCTCCTTCAGTGGCTCTGTGCAGGAGACCATGGGGTCCTGGACCACAGGTCAAGGTGTACTTGGTGCTGGCTTGGAGGCAGGTCAAGGGACGGTGGACCTTCTTGCCCCTGTTCTCCTAACCAAGCCCCATGCATTCTGTTCTAGAAAACCAAGAGTACTTCGAGAAGCACCGGTGGCCCCCGGTGTGGTACCTGAAGGAGGAGGACCACTATCAGAGGGCGCGGAAGGAGCGGGAGAAGGAGGACTATCTGCACCTGAAGCGGCAGCCCAAGCGGCGGTGGCTGTTCTGGAACAGTCCCTCCTCACCATCCTCCTCTGCAGCCAACTCATCCTCCCCATCATCATCCTCGGCTGTGGTCTGAGATGCTGCCACCCTCTTCTGACCCTGCTGCTGTTGTCCCCATTTGCCCTTGTCCCTCTGCTCTTCTGCATCACCCCCGCCACCCACCAGGGACAAGGGGACCCACCTCACCAGGACCCTAAGGGCAGAGCTGTTCTCACCAGCCAACATAGCTCAGCCAGAGAGGAGCCAGGCCCTGCTGGCGGGTCCCCAGTTCCAAGGCAAGACAGGAGACACCTTCGGGGAGGCAGGAAGCAGGGGAAGAGCCAAGAGCTCTGGCATTTTCTCCCTGGGTTCAAGAACCCTAGAGTCAAGGGGAAAGCCTCCCAGCACAAGGGCTTGCCTGCGTGTCTGGGTCTCTGCTCTGGCTGGGGAGGCAGCCCCCTTCCCAGAGAGCAGCCAGGGTCCTGCTCCATGGGCCACATCTTCCCAACAGACTAGACGGTTGCAAATGTTTTGTGGGATTTCCACATGAAGCCTACTCAGATCCTCACTGGAGAAGTCAGGGTAGAAATTAAGCCTTCAGAGCTCAACTCAAGGCTTCTACATCCTGGGCTGCAGCTGCAAGAGGCCACACATGGAAAAGCTTGCATTCTGCATCCCTCCCAGGTTGCAGGCAATGAGGCCTGATTTGTGGGTGGCAGAGGTAGCTCAGAGCTCCAGGCCTGGAGGCAGTGCTTCTTGGTGCAATGAGAAACCTTCCGTGCCCCTTCTGCACTCCTCAGATGGAACCCAAAGGAAACAACTGGATTGGGAGAGGAGGGAGGAGTGGGGTCTGTGTGCAGCAATCCCATGCTCCTCTGGGCCCCTTCCCCTGCCTCTGGGTAGTACTGCTTTTTATGGGGTTGGGGCAAAATTAGCAAAAAACAAAAACAAAACAAAAAAAAAACCCAAACAAACAAGAACCAACTCAAAAGGAATTCACCACCAACCAAAAAACGCTATCCTCTATTTCCCCAAAGAATGGAAATGAGAAATAGACCCTATATAGCTTACATTTTTATAAAGCCAAACAGAGGCCCCATGGCTAGGAGATGGAGGCTCAGTATACCTTCAACTCAGATGCCTTTTGGGAAGGGCTCCTTGTCTGCTGTGGCTGAGGATGTCCTGGGCCTGCCCAACAGCCCTCGGGGCAGCCCGGCTCCTGGGCTGCTGCTTGCCCCTGACTGAGGTTGTGAGGATTGAGGGGAGGGCTTTGGCCTCAGGACTTAGCCGTATTGGACCCTGCCTTTGCCCATCTCGAGGATGTAGACTGCCCTCACCTCTGAGGGTGATCCCGCAGGATGCTTATGAATTATGTGTTTGGGGGACTTAGGACAAGGGTCAATGTCAACAAAAGACACAGTTGGAGAACAACAGTGCCATGTAATGAAGGGTCACGGGACATAAAGCCCTACCTAGTGCTGGTTTAGGATGAAGGGAGGATTGAACAGAAGGAAAAGCAAGGTTCACCTAGAAAGGAAGGATGAGACTGGGGATTAAAACAGCTTGTGGCCCCTACACCCTTTTTAATGCTATGAGGTGGATCCTGATGAGGAATTGCAGAGCCAGGAGGCAGTGAGTTGAGAGCTAAGGCGTCCCCTGAGAAAGATGCTTCAGGAAGAGGGACTGGCTAGGTCCCAGGGACCTGGGGTGGGGCAGTTAGGTCTGGGATAGAGCAAACCCAGAAACCAAGGCAATCCTGCAATGATTGTGTGGTGCCAAGACCTAGAGCTCTGAGGTTAGTCCTTGTCGAGAGGCCCAGGTAGGGGCAGGTCTAAAGTGGGGTGAACCCAGGGTGTCTGAGCCTTACCTTCCAAGATTGTGACTGCCTCCCTCCAGTCCTCCTGGTTAGCTGGCTGGAAGCCAGTCATGTGCTGCCCTCTGCTGGCTATCCAACCTCCCTGCGCCCCAGCTCTGCCTGCAGCTTCAAGGGTGAGGCTGAGGTGGGGGAAGGGGGCATCCAGAAGAGGACCTATGCAGCCTTGGCAGCATCCTTGTGGTAGGGGAACAGAGATGGGGACACATGTCCTGAGATCTAGGTGAGAGGGAGAGCTCGGTTCTAAAGAGGAAGGGGCAATGGGTCTCCCAGGTGCTTGCAGGGCTGAGGAACCTAGAGCCAGAGAGGAAAGGCCAGTGGGAAAAGTGAAGGTGGAGAAGGAGTTGAGGGCAGCCCACAGGAGAGTGGCCACAGAGCTCCCTCAGCAACCACGGCCAGCTCACCCCTCAGGGACCCGCCACCCTTGACCCTCAGCTCTCTTAGGGCCGCTCTGCCCCACACAGAGCCCTGCAGCCCAGAGAAACCACCTTGGGAGGCTGTGGGTGAGCCAGATCAGAGCAGATGTCCCTGTCCCCAGAGGGAAGGGCAGGTGGGGGGAAGGAGGAGGTGCTGAATTTCAGCCCCCCAGGAACCACCCCTCTGGATCCCAGGGAGGCAGTAGAAAACACCTCCCCCGACAGGGTGAGCCCAGAGAATAAAGGGGAGAAAGGAGGACACGGGTTACATGGGGGGCCAGACATTTCCCCACTCAGGTCCCTCAGAGCTGGTTCAGAGATGGAGAGGATGGGGGCAAAAAACAAAAACCACACCTCTTTTTATATAAGGTTTCATATTTAATTTGGTCATGAATTCATAAATACATGAGTATTTTGTACCTGACGGCCTTCCTGTGTCGTTCCATATCACCCTTGTTTTCAACCCCTCGCTTCCCAGGAAGCACTTGCTCAAGAGCCTGCCTGCATTTGAACTTGGTGTACACCACACAACCAGCAGCGGGAGGAGCTCATGTCTCCTGCACAGGCCGCTTACATTGCAACAATAAGCAGGCCCAACACTGATGAGGCTAACTTCCTGCGGTGGGACCCAAGGAAGTCCTCTGAGAAAGGTGCCGGGAGCTAAGCCTTACTGGCTTCCTCTCAGGAGGACAAGTGTCCACCAAAGCAGCAGCAAAGGCTAACGTCCAGAAAGCAGCCAGGAGCAGCTTGGGGGACCTGGAAGGGCGGGGAAGGGTATGGGAAGATGAAAGGGTCCCCTCTCCTAAAGATGCACAGAGGCCACATTCTTTAAAAATATTTTTTATTTCTTTTTAGTTATACATATTATACACACATGGAGTATGACTTCCCATGCTTGTGGTCGTACATGATGTGGGTTACACTGGTTGTGTGTCCGTATTTGAATGTAGGAAAGTTGTGTCTCATTCAGCTGTCTTTCCTACTCCCTCCCCTTTATTCCCGTCTAATCCAGTGAACTCGTATTTCCCACCACAACCGCAGAGCTGCTTATTGTGAGTTACTATCTGCATAACATTTGGCCTTTGGTTTTGGGGGATTGGATTATTTCACTTAACATGGTAGTCTCCAGTTCCATCCATTTACTGGCAAATGCCATAATTTTGTTCTTTTGTGGCTGAGTAGTATTCCATTGTGTATATATACATATGTACACTTTCTTTAGCCATTCATCTGTTGAAGGGCAGCTAGGTTGGTTCCATAGCTTAGCTATTGTGAATTGAGCTACTTATAAACATTGATGTGGCCATGTCACTGTAGTACACTGATTTAAGTCCTTTGGGTATAAACCAAGGAGTCAGATAACTGGGTCAAATGGTGGTTCCATTTCTAGTTCTTTGAGGACTCAGAGGCCACATCTTATCCCTTTTTTGGGGTGAGGGTACCCGGGATTGAACTCAGGGGCACTCGACAACTGAGCCACAGCCCCAGCCCTATTTTGTATTTTATTTAGACAGGGTCTCACTCAGGTGCTTAGCACCTCCCTTTGGCTGAGGCTGGCTTTGGACTTGCAATCCTCCTGCAGAGGCCACATCCTTAATGTGCCTCTAGCTTTGGCGAGTCATACAAGCCCTGAAATGGGAAAACATTCAATGCCTTGAGATGAGAACTACCATCTCCATGAATTTGTCCTTCTGTGACTGGAATGCTCTGGAGAAGGTTTTGCTGGAAGGTAGTCTCCAATAGTTCATGAGGAATTAAATATAGAGGAGAAAGCCAGGACAAAATGCCCAAAGCCATTTTAGGTCTTTCTATATCAGAATTTAAGAATCTGTGTTTCTGAGTTGAATGTCATATCCAGAAGCCCTCTGTGCATATAGAGGTCTTGGGTTCTCAAGTACAACTCTGTACCCCAAAATGCAGCTCTGGGGCTCAGATTCACAAGTAAGAGGTACCATGTAGTCTAGTAAGCAAATATTTCACATTCATGAGTGCTGCCTATTGTTCTTTTCTGAGACCAAGGCAGACATCAAGGACAGGTTCCCTCTCCTCTTCCCCAGGTTCAGAGAGGTCTCAAGAGTTCAATAACATGAACCACCTCTGATCTAACCCATCTCCCACCCCACTTTCCAACAATAGAGGAGGGAACAAAGGTCCCTGCCCAGGTCAGGATTTCAGAAGAATATAGTTCTCCCCAAGATCTTGCTACATCTTCTGTAAATAAAAGAACTATTCACACACTTACAGAAGTGTCATATTTAAAGTTTGGAGATGATCAGTGGTAGAGCTCTTGACTAGCATGTGCAAGGCCCTGAGTGATCCCCAACACCAACAGAAAATAAATAAGTTTATAAGTTTAAAAGACTGGGTTAAACACTGAAGAGTCATTAAATCAAAGTGCATATTAGGAAGAAGAATTCTCGTCAAACACTTACATTATAACATACCAAATTACAAAAACACATAAATAATGACAGAAACAAGTTAATGTAAACACGTAAACATAGTTACAAGGAAAAATTAAGATGTATTAGAATAAAAAAGTGCCACTTAAAAAAAAAAAAAGAGCCGTACGTCTTAATGGTACGGCTTTCCCCCAGCTGCCAAGCTATATGCAGCCAGCCTACTGGTCCCAGCCGAGGAGCAGATGTGGAGCAGCCAAGTGTGTCCGAGTGCGGTTGGCAAGCGCTGCCTGCGGCCCATGGAGTGGCCCCCATAGGCAGGACAGAAAGCCAGTACCCAGGCAAGCCAAGGCACACCGACCTGTCATCCTTCAGAGGCCAGGCCTGGGCACAGTACAGACACCTGCTGCAGCCCCACACTAGGCTGGAAGTGGGGCAGACTTGAAAGAAAGTTGGAACTCAAGAATTAGCAATGGCTTTAGTAGTTTTCAAGTCCTATAGCAGCAAACCAAGTGCTATATAAACCCATAGACTAGCACACTCAGCAGGAGAAAGCCTACTATTAGGGCCCCTCTTGTACTGCAGGAGGTCCCTTCCTGTGCTTCAATACATCTTTCTGTTACACACAGTCATCTTGGTCCAAGGGTTTCATTCTTCAAATGCACAAGAATTAAGAAAGCGCTCCAGATCTTGTCATGTGGAAGTTTGATTATTTCCTACTTTCTTGTGTTCAAGTGGCTTTTTTTTTGAGGGGAGAAAAGACAAAGGAGGGAACATTTGCCTTTCTAAAGAAGCGACCTTGCAGGATCTGCTCCATCTTCCTGATAGATAAATTTTCCGGAATTCACCATGTAGTCCTCGATTTTCTCCCTTGCATTTCTCTCGCCAATTGTTTCCAAGGCATCCAGCACGGTGTTGATGGAGGCACTGTGCCCCATTTTGTTGAGCCATTTTACCATCATCTCATACAAGCAATCTTCCGGGTTCTGTATTCCATCTTTGATCACAAGAATTTCATTATCTGTAAGGCCCAGCACCCGCATGAGTTTATACCAGGATTTATAGGGTACAACGTTCTGATGGCAACTGAAGAACTGCCGAATGGCTAGATAGGAGAAACATGGAGGACACGTGCATTAGAAGCAGTTCACCAAGGGCAGAGGATCCTAAATCAGGTCTAGAACTCAAATGTGGAAACTAATGAGCTCTCTAAGCCTAGGAACCTGTTGTTCCAACATCCCTACCTGCTTCCATGAACACTGCCTGGGCCCCACTGCACCCAACACACTGGGGGAGAGCAGAGAATACTGCTCTAAGTGGGTGCACAGTTATTATGCAGTAGGAAAGTGATGTGTGATATGGGCCAGAGTGGCCACATCTGCCTCTATGGAAGGAGCAGGGCCTAGCGGTGCAGGGCTTCTGCCTGACTCCCACACTGCCACTGGGCAATGCTGGATGGAGGCAAAAAGACTCAAGGAACAAGTGAACCTGTAAACCAATCAGCTGCATCCAGCTCACGGGCTGTGAAGGATTAAACGAGACTTGTGTGAAATGCATGGCCCAGCACGGCCTGAGAAACGGAAGGGACAGGAGCTGATGTTTTCTAATAGCCTCTTTTAAGAAGTAAAAGGAAATAAATGAAATTCATTTTGACAAGACATTGTACTTGATTCGATATTTATAAAATCTTATTCCATCATATAATCGACATTCAGTCTTTGAAATCCAGATTGTAGTTTACACTACGGCCCATCAAACAGGGCCTGGCCACAGGTCAGGTATGCAAAAGCCTTCAGGAGGACCTGGGGGATGATGAACTACAAGCAAGGAGGGAGGATGGTGGGCGGGTATAGAACGATGCAAATGATGGGGGAGGGACCAGGTGGGCCCCCATGGGAGAAGCAGAGCGAGAAGGGGATTGGTGGTTCCTAAAGCCCAGTGACAACAGCATAGGACCCCATGCATCCAGCATCAACAGCCCTGGGGAAGCCCTACCAGCCACAGGGACAGCAGTTAAAACCCTGTTCCCGTTCCCCGGGCGCCTGTTCATCATCTCACATGAAATACTTACTCTCAATGGTATCAGTTCCCTCTACTGGAACCAGTGGCCTCCTTCTCATCGGAGACCTCTCTGTTTCTGCAGGTCTCTGGAACAAAGGGGAGATGCCCTGTCAGAGTCAGGGACCTCTGACAACCAGCCAGCCTGGAGATATCTGGGCCACCCCCCTTATCCCTTCCAGGTCTCTGTGGAGATTGGCAATAAACTTGCCACCTGGAGCCGCGCACAGGCTGTGTGCATGCTCACCTGAAGTGTTCCATTCCAAGCATCACTCCACCAAGAGGGAATGCTCGCTCCCCCACCCAGAGCTTCCTCTTCTGGTCGATTCCCTCCCACCTCCAGCAGGAGGAAGCGGCCTTCTCAGAGGCCTTTTATTCTCTTATTTTTGCAGTACTGGGGACTGAATCCAGTGTCTTAAGCATCCCCAGCCTTTTTTTTTTTTTTTTTTTAAAGAGAGAGAGAGAATGAGAGAATTTTTTAATATTTATTTTTTAGTTTTCGGCGGACACAACATCTTTGTTTGTATGTGGTGCTGAAGATCGAACCCGGGCCGCACGCATGCCAGGTGAGCGCGCTACCACTTGAGCCACATCCCCAGCCCCGCATCCCCAGCCCTTTTTGAAAATTTTTCTTTTCTTTTGGTACTGAGGATTGAACCCAGGGTCATTCTACCAATGCACTATGTTCTCAGCTCTTTTTAGTTTTTACTTTGAGACAGGGTCTCACTGCCCAGGTTGGCCTCAAACTTGTGATCCTCCTGTCTCAGCCTTCGAGTGGTTGGAATGACAGGTGAGCCCCACCACACGTGACTCTTACAGAATTTTTATGAGACTCAGTAGAAGCCTGTATATGAAGGCGCTGCCATCCAAAGTCATGGCTGGTTTCAAGAATGTGAAGGTGTTCTGATCAATAACAATGTCTCATATCAATAGTCAAAAGAAGGAAATGAAAGCATGACACAATCACCACAAAGGCTGGCAGGCACTTGGTAAGACTGAACTCCAGTTCTGAGGTTTTAAAACAGCTTGGAATCCAAAGATGCATTTCTCTATGAAATGAGCCAATGTCATTCACAGGGGTGGCACTTGAGATGCAACAGGTGCTTTGCTAAGCAGTTTTCCTCCCTTCCTCCCCCCTGACCTATTTTCCTCACTCTTCTTTGTAATTGTGCTGGGGATAGAACCCAGGGCTTCTAGGCAAGCTCCCTCGCCCTTCCCAGCATTGCTGCCCACTGTGCTCAACAGTTCTGGCTCCACAGCAGGCGGGAAGACATTAACGCAGAGCAGGAGTCTCGGAATGGAGCAGGAAAATGAATCACTGTTTATATATGTTTGAATATGTAAAAAACCCTAAAGTTTAAAAAGGATTGAAAGAGCAACAGAAGTCAGAATGAATGGCTAAAAATGTAGTGAAACAATACATTAGAAAACGCCACGAAAAGACCCAATTTATAAAGTTTATAAAACGCTTAAGTACGAAGAAAGCAGCACTGTCAAGAAATAGAAATGATTTATTTGTAGAAAAAGACAGATCTTAATTTAGCTGGAAGAAAAACACTTGTCTTGAAATGCTGACTTCTGCGATAAGAAAAATATTGAATACTGACAAAATTTCAATTTGTCCTAGATTAAATTTTCATATTTAAGGTAAACTGGAATAGAAATTCCAATTAGGGGCTGAGGATGCAGTTCAGTGGTTAAAAGCCTTTGTCTAGCATGAGTGAGGCCCAGAGTTCCATCCTCAGCATCAGGAAAAAAAAATCAATTATTTTGATATAGAGAAGATCTTATGAATGAATTCTAAATTGTATCTGGGACAAATTTTAAGTTTTAAAAAATGAAGAAAAAGTTATTTTGTTTATTATTAAAACAAAAAATTTCAATGTGTGAAAGAATATTGCATATAATATGTGACCTTTCAATAAATGTCCATAAACTTATGCATAAAGACTTGGAGAAAGAATCACAAGGAATTATCTCTCATAGTTATCTTGGGACCTGGGGGAAATGAAAGAAGCTCTTATTTGTTGAGACCCTTTCTATACCGTTTAAGTTTTCTCACTTTGAATATATATTTATATCTTTCTAAAAATATCAAGGTATTTAATCAAGTTGCAGGGATTATTGACCTTTTTAGGTTGTTTTGTTTTCTTTTGTTTTGGTATGGGGGACTGAACTCAGGGGCACTCGACCATTGAGCCATAGCCCCAGCCCAATTTTGTATTTTATTAGAGAGAGGGTCTCACTGAGTTGCTTAGCGCCTCACCATTGCTGAGGTTGGCTTTGAACTCGAGATGCTCCTGCCTCAGCCTCCTGAGCTGCTGGGATTACAGTCGCCTGGTCAATTATTGATCTTTTTAATGAATATTTTTATTTATTACTTTCTCATTGTTAAAGGGAAACTGGGTATTGATGCAAGAATGAAACAGGAATAGCCTGGGAGAAAGGACATCACTGTCAATATCAACATTTGAGTTGTGATTCAAGGGGTACCAAGAGCAGAGGGATGTGGGAGACTCAGGATTTAACTGGGGCCAGAAGAGTTAGATAGTGACTTAGAGCAATTGAGCAGCACCACATTTCTTATGGTACTGCAAGAGAAACTCCACTTGGATTATACTGTAATGTACAAAAAGGAAATCCTTGAAAAAAATATTTCTTCCCAGGAAATGGGAGGGTTTCTTCTTATGTTGAGCAAGGGGCTAGGGATATAGCTCAGTTGGTAGAGTGCTTGCCTTGCATGCACAAGGCCCTGGGTTTAATCCCCTAAACTTCTTAAGCTGATGAGCAAAAACAAAGTTAATGTATCTAGCAATCTCACCAGTTATAAATGAAAACGTCTATTCATGAAAATATCACACCAAATGAAAGGATAAGAAATTAGGACTCTATTATCCACATGGGAAAAAATGTACGGGCGGGGGAATACATCTTCTTACAAAGATCCTAGGACAAAACGCTGTTGGTGAATCAAAAATAACCAAAACGGGGGCTAGGGCTGTAGCTCAGCACTTGCCTTGCATGCATGGGGCCCTGGGTTCGATCCTCAGCACCACATAAAAAATAAATAAATAAAAAAGTTGTCCATCTACAACTAAAAAAATAAGTACTTGGTGACAAGTACTCAGCCCTGGTTCGATCCTCAACCCACACCACAGTGCCCAATCTGTGCCTGTAGGCTCCAGGCTCTGGGGATGCAGCCTGAGCATGACAGAGATCCAGATGAAGCAGAGTGTTCCAGAGTAGCTCAGTCACCTCGTGAACCAGGTGCAGCCCCACCTAGACAGTCCCTTTCCTCCCTCAGTCTCCACTTCCCCTCAGGATGACACCCACTCTCCCCGTCTACAGCCTGGCACAGCCTGTCCCCACTCACCAGCAGACTTGTTTCCTCCTCTGGGAACTCTTCAGTGACACGTGTCACCAGCTGTTGTTCATTCCTTTGCTGCTCAGAGTCCACGGTGGATGGTGAGTTCGTGCTGGCTAGGATCTCATTGTGGTCATTGTCCTGAGCTTCAAGCTTTCTTGGGATAGAGACCTTGGGAAGACAAAGACCACTCAGGAGCCCACACCTAGGACTCCCTACCAGGTCCTCACCCCGTCTCAGTGGGGTCACTCCAGGTGGGCACAGGCTCAGACATCCATGATCTGTTGCTGGCACCAAGGTCCTAGGGTTGTGCCAAGGAGAATGACAAAGTCCTAAGTGACCCCACCCCCAGGGGCAAGGTCATGGGAGAGGGTGTCTCCCAAGCAGCAGGAAGGACAGGGTAGCAGTATGGTCCACAGGCCTAGAGGGAGCTCACAATGGCCGTTTGCCCCTGACAGTTGGCCCAGAGTTCCAGGCCACTTTAGAGAGCAAGGGCAGCATCACAGGATAAACAGGGATGGCCCTTCCCAGGCTGTGCTGCTCAGTGACTCCAAGCACAGGGGAGACCACTCACTGTGTCCACGTGCTGAGAGTCTTGTCCACAGCCTGGAAGAGAAAGGGATCCTCTTAGCACATGGGCAGGGGCCTCACCCACCTCCCTGAGGGCAGTGCTGGGCGGTCTGGGCTGGGGACCTAGACACAGCACAGGGGAGAAATGGGGAGACATGTTCACAGTCTGCCTGGCTCTGCCCTGCCCACAGCTGTCTAGCCCCTGACCACTTGTCACCCTAACTTGTTCCTAGTCAAAGAGATCACACTTCTGCCTGGTGGGCACTGCCAGCTGGACCAGGCTGAGATGAGGTGACAGTCCTAGACTGGGACTCGTGGGATCCTGGTGATCATGAGGTGCCATGAGATGGGAGATGACAGGGTCACCACAGGGAATAAACAGCCAGGCTGGGAGGATAAGCGGCTTTGGGATTTGGGGAGGGCATTTCTGTGTGTGGGAACGGAGCAGGATGGGGGGCAGGGTGCTCGCATGCCCACCCCCAGCCAACACTTACTTGGAAAGATGTTCTTTATACATTTGAATATCTTCTTCCTCCTTGAAAACCTCCACGTAATCCAAGGCAGAAAAATTACAGCAACCATAGCCAGAAACAGGCCCAGGCCCAGCACGATATATCCGACTCTACGGTCTGAGGAGGGATGGACAGAGGCAGTAATGCTGACGTTGGCTGTCACTGGCTCTGCAGAAGCCAGGGTTTCCCTGATGGCCTTGGTACCTGAGTCTTTGTGGACACATTTGCGGTCACTCCAGGGGACACAGGGACTCTCCTCCACCATCTCACCGTGGCAGCTGGGTGCAGAGACAGGAAACAACAGGAAGATGTGAGGGAAGGCTGGCCAGACAGCATGAAGGAGGGAGCCACCCTCTCTGCCTAATGTCCCTGAGAAGGTGTTAAAGAAAGGACAGGCTCCTTGTATCTCCAGGGACCCCCCAACCCCTAACTCTCCCCTAAGTCTGGGAAAGGACCTGAGCACAAACCTTTCCATCCCTCAGAATCCCAGCTATGAGTGGAGGTGCAGCCTTAGGGGCCTTCTCTGCTGGGTGCTGCTGCGTGGCCTGGCTACTGAGCAAGGTGGGATCTCACTCTGGGGGAATGGCAGGAGCCCAGGCAGCCACAGCTGAGCCTAGCCTCCTGCTAACCTTTAACACAACTAAGCTTCCTCGGACCTTCCTGTCTGACCTTCTTACCAAGCATAGCAAACACCCAGCATGAGAGAAGAGTAAATTAACTATCGGCCCAGAAAGCCCCAAATAGGAACAAGATGTGTTATTGAGGGGCCAGGAGTCTGGGGTGAGGCTGGCAGAAGTGGCTTGAGCCAGCCTTCTTGGGAGCCTCGAGGGCGCCACACACACCGCCTTAACATGCCTCTTCTGGGCTGTGGGAGCTTTTGTCTTCATGGGCTTCTGCTGCACAAAAATTGATTGAAAATGACATTTTTGTTACTGACTTGGGATATAAATGAACAGAAGCCTGGCTGAATTCTACCCATTCTTCTGTTTCCAAAAAGAATTCAAGCATATCCTGGGGCCCTCAAAAGGACCATGGGACCTAAGTCATGGCCTCCTGTGGCCAGTGAACAAGTCCTGGGAGAAAAGGATGGGAAGGGACCACTGTGAGCGCAGGTGGGAGGATGTGCAGAAGGACCAGAAAAGGACACTGAAAGCTCAGGAAACTCCCAAGGGACACCTGAGGGGTTGTGGGGCTCCGCAGGGCCGGAAGAGAAAGGGGTACTAAAACAGTCAGGTCTTCTATGGCTTCCCTTGAGCTGCTGGGAGCTCCCAGCTCCAGTATCTCACCGGTCCGAGCACGTTCGGCAGAACTCAGGGGAGTTTTGATCCTGGAAGGTGCCTGGTTTACATTGGCACTCTGCATCTCTGGTGGTGGTGCACGGACTCTTCTTTTCTTTATCTGGAAATGAAGGAAGAGCTCTGGGGATGAATTTCCCGGGGTACTCCTCCGTCCTTCTCCACATGAACACCCCCCCCCCGCCCCCCAGTCAGCCCGGTCCTGCAGCAACAGAGTACCAGGCATAAAGATGCTGTCACCTGTATTTGGAGTCACATAGAAGAATACAGTTTATTATTTAATGCATCAAATTTTAGATCCCAAGGTCAGGTGCAAGGAAGGGCCTTGGGATGTGGAGGCTGGAGCATCGTGCCCCTGCCAGGAAGTCAGAGCACAGGATGGAGAACCTGGCTCAGGACCAGGATAAAATCCAGCCTTTTCCATCAGTCACTTATTTTCTTGGGCTACAGACCTAAACGTTTCAGGAGATCCAAGAAATGGAGACCAGAATGTGTGTTGGAGTTTATGTGGAAGGTTACCGAATGAGAGGCCTGAGGTCAGGAAGGGTCTAACTCATGGGAAGAGAAAGTAATCCACACTGAGAAGAAGTGACGGAGGAGCCTGAGGGTGGGGACAGAACATAGCATGATCCCTCACAGCCGGAGGCTGACTACAGGGCAGAGGGGAGGCTCAAAGAGACTCCCTTCTTTCCACTCCACTCTGCCCTGCATCTCTGACTTCCATTCCTCCTCTGCCCTTCCCTGTATGTTCAGAAGGATCTTGGTCAAAAACAAAGCAGGTGGTGGCTTGAAATCTGTCAGTGGACCCCCAAATCCCGAGCAGAGGACAGGAGACTTGGAGCAGACCCAGAACTGAATCAGGCGTTTCTCCTGAATGCATGAGGTTCTCTAACCTTCAGTTCTGGACCTCTGGATGGAGAGATGTTCTCCATCTACCACTTGGAATCCTTGAATCTGTCCTTCAACATCCTTTTCAAATGTGCCCTGGTCTATGGAGTCCAGTGTCCTTATCTCTATTGTAGCTGGAGTCACCTGCTCAGTCCTCTTAGGACATCTCCAGGGAAATGTCCTCTCATAGCCAGCCCCAGTGCACTCTGTACCTGTCCTGTCCCAGGGCAGACGTTCAGCAAGTGTTTGCCAAGTTTACAAATCAAGGGACAGTGTCAGCAGTAGCAACTGCCCCAAAATGCTTCTGAGGGGGTGAAGGAGCCCCTCCACAGGGGGCAGATTAATCTCCTACTCCTCCCTATTGCTGTTTTAAATGACTACCTTCTAAAGCGGCATGCATTACATGTTAAATTTCCATTTTTAAAAAATTGTGTTTCATTGAATCAAAGATGATCATGGGGCAGGGCAGAAAGAAGACCGAGTTGGGCTGGAATTGAGGTTTCTGAGTCCACGTGGAATCCGAGTCCCAGCCCACCACCCTCCCTGGGCCCGCTTGCTGTGTACCATTTCTACAGATGCTGCAGGGGATGCAGGAAGAGAGGTTGTTGGAATGGTTGGTGTAATCCACACCCTCCTGGCACATCTCGCAAGCCCCAGTCTCAGTCCGGTAATAGCCTGGAGAGAAAAGCCCGTGAATGAATTTCACTGCAGCTGGCAGTGGTGAGAGGAATTCTCTCTCCAACATGAGACTCTAAACAGGGACAGCCACTCTACCCGATCTGGCTCAGCACATCCTTTCTGTACCTACTATACAACTTAGCCCAGCACCCCACAGAAGCCCAATACAAAGCACACAAGAAATCCTGACTCAGAGTATCCACAGTAAAAAGTATAAAGTCCAATGAATTATAATCAGTATGTAATAGTGAGATAGTTTAAATACCAAGCCTTCAAAATCTAGGGTTTTGTTTGTTTTGGTCACATCACAGGGATCACCTAGTATTCTACTTTAAGATACTGAAAAAGGAAGCACAATAAAGGTGAAGAAAGTGAGAAGGCATGGAAATAATACAGATAGAGCAGAAATGCACTAAATAGAGATGAGAAAAACAATGGAGAACATCAATCAGACCAGGGCTGGGATGCAGCTCAGCAGCAGAGCGCCTGCCTAACAGGTGTGTGGCCCTAGTTCGATCCCCAGCCCACCAGCCAGTAAGGGAAGAAAGAAATTAATGGTGACCAAAAGCTGGTTCTCTGAACACAGTTGACTAGGGCACTAAAGGGAGGAGACTGAAAATATGAGAATCTGAAAAAAGTACTGAGTATGCTGTAAACCCCGGTACATCCCAAATTGGGTAACTTTGGGACAATTTGTTAGAAAAACAAACACTGAAACCAACTCAAGGAAGAGGTGGACAACCCAGCGAGTGCTTGGCCGGCTTCTGCTACCGCCTGGATCCTTAGGCTCCACTACACTGCAGCAGGTGGCCAACTGTGTCTGTGTCGCAGCAACAGGCAGCGGCTCGCGTTCGTGGGCTGACGGTGTCTGGAGTCGGCAGCATGCAGGGCAGCCGCCGTCCCACACACTGGGGCTGAGGGGGCTGAGGAGGCTGTGGCCACCGCCACAGGAGCCAGGCGGTCACACCTCCTGCACACCTCCACGACAAGGAGCGTGGCTGCCCTGCGACTACAGGACAGCAGCTCAGCGATCACTGCCAAGGCGGCGACAAAGGATGAAGATGAGCAGAAAGAATCTGAGCAAAAGGAGGTTGATGACAGCAGACTCAGAGTTCAGGCAGTGCCAACGGGTGAGAGGGAAGACCGTGACCTTGACAGGAGATCCGAGTGGTAACCGGGAGGAAGATGCCAGTCGGGGCCAGAGAGGAGAATCTTCAGTCGATGGAATAAAACTGCCCCGGACAAGCACCCGGCTGCTCGGTTACCAAAGTCCAGGAACCGCAGAGCCTGGCGGTGTGGGTGGCTAACCACAAGACCCTGGAGATTGATAGGCGTGCATCAGATCCCCAGGAAGGGAGGGAAATGGAGAAGACCTGTCAAGCAGCAATACACAAAAACAAAGGCAGGGAAGAGGTTTCAAAAAGCCAGGCCCTTAGACTTCAGCTAGCAAACCAGCTGGGAAGGCAGCCACACCCCAAAGCTATCTGTTCTTGCCACTTGACTATTCAACACTGTGCTAGTGGTTCTCATCAGGGCAATTAGGCAAGAAGAAGAAATAAATGTCACCCAGATTGAAAAGGAAATAAAAGCCGTGTTTACTAATGACACCATCTTATAGGCAGAAAACCCTAAGGAATGGATGGAAAGAACCTTACACATATGTAAGTTCAGCAAGGTTATAAAACACTAGATCAATACACAAAAAATCAACTGTATTGTGGTATGCTCACAATATGGCCAATCCCAAAATAAGACTAAGAAAAATTCCATTCACAATAGTATCAACAAGTATTAAGTAGTTAGGAATAAATTTAATAAAATAAATGCAAAGTTTATTATCTAAAAAATTTTTTAAAAATTGCTGAGAAATTAAAGAAGATCTAAAATAAATGGGAAAACATACCATGTTCATGGATTGAAAGACTTAACAACAATGTTAAGATGACAATACTCTCCAAACTGGGCTACAGACTCAGCTCAATCCCTACAGAAAGTCAGCTGACTTCTTTATAGAGATTGTGAAGGTGATTCCAAAGTTCATATGGAATCTCAAGGAACCCAGTATAGCCAAAATAATCCTGGAAAAGGAAAGCAGAATAGGAAGAATCACACTTTGATTTTAAAACACACTACAAGTTGGTACTGGCAAAAGGATAGACACAAACAAATGGAAAAGAACTGAGAATCCAAGAATAAACTCACATATTCACATTGAACTGATATTCAACGAGGATGCCAAGACCGTTCAATGGGAAAGAACAGTCTTTAAAAAAAAAAAAAATTGTGCTGGGACAACTGCATCTGGAATAGCCACATACAAGAGGAAGAAGTTGAATCCTTACCTGGCACTACATACGGTAATTATCTCAAAGTGAATAAAATACCTAAATGTAAGAGCAAAGCCTACTAAACTAAACAAGCAGAAAACCTGGGGGTAAAATCCTCATAACCCTGGATGTGGCAAAGGATCAATAAATACCTAAATAACTTAGCAAGATCCTGTTTCAAAATAAAAGATAAAAAGGGCTGGTGATGCAGCTTAGTGGTTAAGTGCTGCTGGGTTCAGTCCCTGTTACAAAAAAAAAAAAAAAGAAAAAAAAATTACAGTTCAATCTTAGAATGTACCTGCAGGACACCATCCTTCTGAAAGGTCATCTGGTGAATAAGCTCTAGCACCAGTGGCTGGCTCAAGTAGGACCTATGGGGACAAAGCAGGAACTAGCATGAGTGGCTTCCAGACTTCACCCATCATAAGATCCATCTCACATTCCTCCCTCCACCCCAGCTTCCAAAACTAAACACAATTTGGATTTTCCTCCCAGTTATAAAACTCTCAGCCATTTGATTATATCTATGCTTCTTAGGGCTAGACAAGTGATACACACTTGAAAAACCCCTTTATTCTTTCACTTATTAAAAAACACTGTTTACTCAGATATGGAAAAGTACAGGAAAGTTTTTACAAGAATAAAATCACATTCCCTCCATCAGAAATTGCAACCTCTACTCTATTGTCTTAATGGGAATATTTTGTCTCCCTCTTGGTCTCTCTCATGGACACAAATACACTTTTTAAAAATTGTAGTCAAATAAACATAAGATAAAATTTACCATCTTAATCATTTAAGTGTACAGTTATTCGTGCTAGACACATTCAAACTTTTGTGTAACCAATATCCAGAATTTCTTTCATTTTGATAAATGGAAAGTATGTGTCTATGGAACCATTGCCCATTCCCCACCCCTCCACCCTGGCAACCACCATTCTACTCAGTTTCTGTGAATTTGAGTAATCTACGTACCTCATATAAGTGGAATCATACTGAATTTATTTTTTCATGACTGGCTTATATCACTTAGCAAAATACCCTCATGGTCCACTCACATTGTATCATACACTAAAATTTCCTTTCTGTGTATATGCATTTTGTTTATCCATCCATCTATTAATGGATAAGTGGGTTGATCCTATCCTCTGGCTATTGTGAATAAAACTCATGGACATAACATGTACAAAAACTCCTTAAGACTATTTTCAATCCTTTTGCTAAGGGCTGGGGATGTGGCTGAATGGTAGAGCATTTGCCTGGCATGTTTGAGGCTCTGGGTTTGATTCCTAGCTTTGCAAAAACCAAATCAAACAATTCTTTTGGATCTACACCCAGAAGTGGAATTGCTAATCACATGGCAGTCCTATCTTTAATTATTCAAGAAACTGTCCTCCTGTTTTTCATAGTGTCTGCATCACTTTATATATTCACCAAAAGGGCACAAAAGTTGCAATTTCTCCACATCCTCCCCCAAATCTGTTATTCATGTTTTGACAGACCATCTCTTTGTGGTTTCAATTTGTATTTCCCTAACAATTCGTGGTATTAAACATCTATTTTCGTGCTTGTTGGATATTTGTATATCTTCTTTGGATAAATTTCTTATTCATATTCTTTGCTTATTTTTGAATTGTACTGTTCATTTATTTTATTGCTACGTTACAGGTGTTTTTTATAAAACAAACTCTGGATATTGACCTTTTATCTCATTTCTCCCATTCTGTAGGTTGTTTTTCTCCATCAAATGTGTCCTTTTTCTTTGAGGCAAAGAAGTTTTTTTTTTTGTTTTTTTTGTTTTTTTTTTTTGATGTAGTCCAATTTATCAAGTTTTACTTGTTGTCCGTGTTTTTGATGTTATACTTTAAAAAAATCATTGTCAACTCCAATGTAGTGAAGCTTTTCCCTTGTTTTCTTCCAAAAGTTTTATAATCTTAGCTCTTACATTTAGGTCCTTAATCAACTTTGAGTTGACTTTCATCTATGGTGTAAGGTAAAAGGCAATATTTCATGAAAAGACTGTCCTTTCCATCATCTGTTGGTCTTGGCACCCTTGTTGAGAATCACGTGACCAAATGTTGGAAGGTTTATTTCTGAGCTCTCTATTCTATTTGGTCTGTCTCTTCTTTACGTTAGTACTTCAATGTCCTGAGAACCGTAGCTTTGTAAAATTTTTGGAAATCAATTAGTTTGAGGCTTCTAATTTTGTTCTAAAATGAACTGGGAAGGATTTCCTCCTCTCCACAAACTTCTTGGAAGAATTTGAAGAGGATTCATGGTGCTTATTTAAATGTTTGGTAGAATTCACTAGGGAAGCCACCTGGTCCTGAGATTTTCTTTGTTGGAAGGCATTGGCTCCCTGATTGAATCTCCTCACTAGCTGTAATTCTGTTGAAAACCTCTAGTTCTTCACAATTCAGTCTTGGTGTGTTTCCAAGAATTTATCCATTTTTCTCTATGTGATCTAATATGTTGAAGTACACCTACTCAGAGCATTCTCTTTAAGTCCTATTGATTTCTGAAAATTCAGCTATATTTCTCATTTTCATTTATGATTTTGGTTATTTAGGTCTTAAAAGTTTTGTCCATTTTGTGAATCTTCTTATTTAATTTAATTTATTTATTATTATTACTAGTATAGTAGTAGATGTTCCGGGGATTGAACCCAGGGGTGCTCTATCACTGAGCCATGTCCCCAGCCTTTTAACTTTTTTATTTTGAGACAGGGACTCACTAAGTTGCTAAAGCTGGCCTCAAATTTGAGATCTTCCTGCCCCAGCCTCCAGAGTCACTGGGATTACAAGTGTGTGCCACCAAGCATCACTTGCAGATCTTTTTAAATAACCAAATTTTGGTTTCACTGATTTTTCTTCACTGTTTTCTACTCTTTATTTTTTTTTTAAAAAATCTGCTCTAATTTTTATTATATACTACCTTTGCTAGCTTTGTGTTTAGTTTTCACAAAAAGCTGTAGCTTATTATGCGTGCAATACATCAAATTGAGGAAGTTCCCCTTTGTTCTAAATATGAGAATTTTTTATTATGAATGTGTGTTAAGTTTTAGCAAACAATTTACATGTTCATATAGGGTTTTTTTCCTTCACATTGTTAATATCATGACTAATACTGATTTTCAAATGCTAATCAAACCATATTCCTGAAATAAACCCCATTTGTTCAGAGTACATTATTTTTTTAAAAGTTTCTAGACTCAATTGTCTGTCTTTTACATCCATATTTATAATGGATGTTGATTAGAGTTTTGTTTTTTTGTAATATCCTTGTCAGATATTACAAATATATACAGGCATTATATAAAAATAATGATGTTATATAAAAATGATGATAAATTGCCTCCTTCTATTTTTTCAATTTGTTTTAGTGATATTTTTTCCATAATATTTACAGAATTACCAGTGAAATGATTATCAGCCCCAATTTTCATTATTTTCAGCTTTTAAATAATTAATTTTAATTCATAAACAGGTATAAGATAATTCAGATTATCTTTACATCTTGTGGCTATTTTGTGAAGTGTATTTTTCTAGGAATTTTTCCATATCATCCAACTTGTTGGATTTATTATCAGTAATTCATAAGCTCTCAGTTTTTTCCTTTTAATGGTGGCAGAGTTTGTAATATCCCATCATTAATTCTTGATATTAGTATTTTATGCTCCTTGCTGTTGTTTTTCTTTCTTTCCTTCAGACAGGGTCTTGCTATGTTACCCAGGTGGTCTCAAACTCCTGGGCTCAAGTGATCCTTCTGAGTTCACTTCCCGAGCAGCTGGCATTACAGGCACTTGACACTAACATGCCTGGCTTGTTTTTTAATTCTGAATTGTATTAATTTTATTTTATTAATCTTTAAAATATATAATTATTTAAATTTATAAATCCATACATTACAGTTTATAATTACTTACAAACACTGAAGTATTTTTAATATCTTTATTTTTTTTTTAATTTTTATGTGGTGTTGAGGATCTAACCCAGCACCCCGTACATGCCAGGCGAGTGCCCTACCACTTGAGCCACATCCCCAGCCCATTTTATTAGTTTTTTCATCATTCCAGGGATCCAGCTTCTGGTTTGTCACTACCTTTTATTGTTCATGTTTCATTTCATTTAACTTATTATGTATGTATATATATATATATATGTATATACACATATATATGTATGTATATATTTACTATATACAAATGTATATATTTACTATATACAACTGTATATATGTGTGTATGTGTATTTATTTATTTAGTTGTAGATGGACACAATACATTTATTTTATTTATTTATTTTTATGTGGGGCTGAGGATCAAACCCAGGGCCTTTCATGTGCTACGTGAGCACTCTGCCACTGAGATCCAGCCCCCATTAATTTCCTCTTGTTACTTCCTTATTAGTTCAAAAAAGATAAACAGGTATGTCCCAATGAATCCTACAACTATGTGTAATTTTAATGTACCAATAAAAACAAGAAAAAAAGAATGAATTTTCAGTGGATATTTCGTATGCTATATATCAAGTGGTTGATAATGTTCAGATTTGTTATTATTTACCACATTTTCATCTGCTAATTCTATCAATTCCTGAGAAAGGGCTGATATGATCTGCCTTTAATCTTGCAGACATTTTCCCTTCACATATTTTAAAGATCTATTATTAGCACACGTGAATTTACTATTATCATGACTTCAATGAATTGTTCGTTTTTTTTTTTTTTTTACACTTGGGATTATTGAATCCATGGGTGCTTAACCACTGAGCAACATCCCCAGCCCTTTTTATTTTTAATTTTGAGACAGAGTCTGGCTACACTGCTGAGGCTGGCTTTGAACTCACGATCCTTCTGTATCAGCCTCCCAAGCCACTGGGATTATAGGCATGCGCTACTGTGCCTGGTTGATGTTCTTAACACCACAAATGGTGCTCCCTGCCCCCCAACTCTGGTAATATCAAGCAAAAACTTGGCAACTGCCTCCTGGGGCCCTGGAACCTGGGCAGATTCTCAGCATTTGACTCAGCTGCCTTAGAGCAGGCATCCTGGGGTCCAGGTTATTCATTCATTGAGTGAGAGCCTGGGGACCTCACTGTGCAAGAAACTGGAGTACCAATGGCAAGAACTGGCACCTCCTTTTCTCAGGACACCTCTGGTTCACAGGGCACTGAGACACAGACCTAATAACTTCAAAGTCAACTAAGGCGAAAGGAGCCTACCGGGGCTGCTCCAGTAAAAGTGACAATACCATCTGAGGGACACTGGGTCATACAAAGAAAAACCAAAGTCATGGGGGAGAGGAGTGAAAAGTAGTACTGTGGCAGCTCTTTGGTTTGTGGTTGCCTCTGATGGTGACAGACTGAAAGTGTGGCCAGAGATTTGATTAGGGGATGGATGAGTCAGTCCATAGACGTGGGTCTTGTGTGTGTTTATGTCAGGGTGTGGGTCGGGCAGGGTGGGGAGCTTGCTTCTGGTGCTGAGTCACCTTAGGCTCCATTTCCTGACTCAAGAACGCCATTTCCCCTCCGAAGCACCCTGTTTGTCTGAAGCTGAACAGTTCTAACTTCAGCTTAAGACTTCTTGTCAAGGTCTTCCTGTGGTCCAAAGTCTGCTTCCTAAGTTTGTTGGCTTGTTTGGTAGTTTGTAGAATAACACCCCTGGATGACGTTCTGAGCCATCTGGCTCATAGCCCAGAGCCAGACATGGAATAGCTCCATGGTTCTGGAGAAGCCCCTTCCCTCCTCTAGACATGTTTCTCTTTCTTGAAATAAGAGGGACCCTGTGCAGCTGAGTGTGGGCTTCCTAGATGGCCACCGAATACACCCCTGGGGACATGCCAGCAGGACTACGGACTCAATCAATGGTGGGGCTGCCGCTGAGGCTCAGCCACCCCTGCTCTCTCCTCACCAAATGACCTTTGCTGTTTCAAGCTGCTCAGGTGAAATGAGGATGGCAAGGGTTCCCACGCAACCTGGGTGTTATAGAGTTACATATGTTAACATATGGAAAGGTGCTGAGGACAAAGCCTGGCACACAGCAAGTGTGTGTTTACATATTCAGGTTTGTAGTCTTATCACACACAATGTTGATTTTTTTTTTTTTTAAAGAGAGTGAGACGGGGGGGGGGGAGAGAGAGAGAGAATTTTAATATTTATTTATTTTTAGTTATCGGCAGACACAACATCTTTGTTTGTATGTGGTGCTGAGGATCGAACCCGGGCCGCACGCATGCCAGGCGAGCGCACTACCACTTGAGCCACATCCCCAGCCCACAATGTTGATTTTAATTAAGCCACAACCTCAGCCCAAGAATACCACAGCAGGTCTCACCAGGCATCCAAGCCTCTTTAGAGGAGGCCAGATGAGGGGGGTTGGGCCTCTTAGGCATTATTAGTCATTTAGGTTTCCAGAATCATATCTTTCAATGGGCTTCCATGAAAAATGACTCACAAAGAGTCTGATCCCCACCCTGCCCCCATGTCCAGGCTATCCCAAGAATGGAGCTCACCATCTACTTGCTGGGAGAACTGGACCTCCACCACCACCCAGGACACACCACTGAGTACAGAGGTGGTCTCAGCTACCCAAGCACCAGCTCCAGGCTGCAGCACAGGGAGGGGATCTTGCCAGCCCTGCAGCCTCTGCTGAGGAACCACAAATAGGAGGTCCCCATAAATTGTCCACACTGTTGTTCAGAAATTCCTGCCTTGGCTCAGAGAGCCAACATCAATGTATCAGTGCGAGCAGGTACAGCCACTGACAGGTGGACAATATGTGCCCTGTGGCGATTCAGCTCCAAAGTGCCGACACTATCCCTGAGGAAGTGACCTGTCCTCCCACACAATTTCATGCAGTGACCCAGGTCACTGCAGCTCACAGATGGCTGTAGTGAACTTGTGTTCTTACCATCTGACACAAGAGAAAGTTGGGACCACACTCAGGTCACAGGCCTTTGACTGCAGTACTCTAACCCTACCCAGTGTGTGGGCCTGTGAGATGCCAAAACTTCCCAATTCCTACTTTGATCGAGAGGGACCTATGTGGAAGGTCCAGGCACAGGCAATGGACAATCCCAGCATTTACAGGGTGAGGACCTGACCTCAGAACCAAGCTCTGTGCCGGACCTCCTCTGATGAAATCCCTCTGGCAGTTCAGGGCAAGGTCTGTGTCCATTTATAGGCAGAAACTAGCCTCGGGCACCAAGGTTTCAAGGACAGGGCTGGAATTCCGGGCTCTCTTGCTGCCTCATCTGGGGTCTCCTGCTCATCTACTACCCTGGAAAATCCCCTCGAGCTTTGAAAATCTCTAATAGCGCTGCAGCATCAAAAACACAATGCTGTGGCGTATCACTTTTTACCTTTTAGATTAGCAAAGAGTTAATGTTTCTATATCCAGTGTGGTAAGGGTGTAGGGACAGAGGAAAGTTTGTATATTCTAGGTGTGAGTAACAAATTGGTAGAACCTTCTTTTGAAGGGGAATATAGCAATATCTGAACAAATTCTAAAGTTATTAACCAGTTGGCCCAAGAATTCCATTCCTAAGGAGTTACCCAAGTAGATGGCGCACATGGATATATGTACCTGTGGTACATACCAGGGCGTTTACTACAATACTGCTCGAATTAGCAAAAACAAAACCAAGATGTAATCTGAACAGCTACCTATAGGATAGAAGATTAAGATAATCCATGGTTCACGTGTAAAATACTAACCTGTTGTTAAAAAGAAAAAAAGGTGCAGGTACGAATATAAAACATCTCTTGTAATTTGGTATTAGCTTCATAATTGTAAAAAGCTCTACCTGATGGAAGACTGACTGACTTATGGAAGGATGAGAGGGCCCTTTGGGATGCCAGAAGGCCTGTCTCACATTTTCAAAACCATCGAATTCAGACTTTTGGCCCTGATGTCTACATTCAGCTGGATACACACTGACCTGACAAAAATAAGCCAGTCTTGGAGAAGCACTAAATGTGGATCCCACAATAAGTGTCTGTTGCTTAAAAAACGAAAACAAAAAATGTGGATCCCACCTAATATAAAACTGATATTCAAAAAATAAATCTCCTAATTATTCTGAGATGGTGACAAAATGCTATTTCCTGGATTAGGAGTGAATTGGTTACATGAAAACATTAAAAACGACATGATACTTGCAAGGTTATTGCTATGATTCAGACTTGGTTGGGGATGTCCCCGGGATGGTGGTGGTCAGAGTGGGTGGGGCCTTTGAGAGGCGGGGCCTAATGGGATGATATTAGGTCATTACTGGCCTTGTCCAGGAAAGAAACAAGGTAGTTCTTAGTGCCCAGGAGGTGGTTGATATAAACACAGGATCCTGACCCCAATACCCCTCAGTGTTCCTGTCTTGTCCTGTGATCTCTCCCTCTCCCGCCCTAAAGCCACCAATCAGTAGGATCCTCACAGCAGCTGGGGCTGTGTGCTTGAACTTCCACAAGAGCTAAATAAATAAACTTCTTTCTATATGAACCAGTCCTAAGTATTTGATGAAGCAATGGAAAACGGAATAATACAAGTGGGTTTTTTTCTTTTTTTTTTTTTTTTTAAGTTTCAAGCTTTTTCCCCCTAACATACAAGTAACCTGGAAAAGTGTAATTAGCGGGAGCTTCCAGCAACCTAGAAAGCACCCCGCCCCCGCCCGCCTTTCCCTCCTTCACAGGAAATCGCGGTCCCCCAATAGGTTTCAAGTCGTAACTTTGTAACTTGGTATCCTGCCTTCGGCCGTCCTCCCGCAGTGAGGAGGCAGGCCAGGCGAAGTCCCTGGGCCCCGCGGGACCCCGCGGGGCTTCGCTCACCCGATCGGAAGCGCGGTGGGAAGGTAGCGCACGAGGACGGACGTGCGTGAAGGAAAAGCAAAAAAGTCCCTGGCTGCCTTCCAGGTGGAACTCGCCTTGTCCATTTTGAAATGCCCCCAAAGTGTCCCCAACCCGTGGAGAGGCGCGCGGGGCACCGCCTCCCCTCCTCCTGGCCCGGGTCGGTCCTGTGGGACCGGGACCCGGACTTTCCCTTTCCCGCCGCCGCCGCCGGGCGCGTCCTGCCCGGGCATGCCAGGCGACAAGCGACCCGGGCCTGGCACCCCCGCCACGACCCCCAGGCCTCCTGCCCCTCCGGGCGCACGTGTCCTCCGAGAACCGAAGCCGGAACTCACCCACAGCGCACAGACGAAAGTCAAGGTCCTGACCCGGAGTCCAGGTGCGGCTTCCAGGGCTCGGCTGGGGCCGGGGGCGCGCACTCCCGGGGCCCCGGGGCCGCCTAGCGCGCTCCCCCTGTGGACCATGGTATTAGGGGGACTCTTGGGCTCCGTCCCTGGGCTACGATTGAGAGTTGGCTGCAGAATCTTCCGCGTTTTTCGTCCACATGGAAATGTCGCCCCGTCTAGCTGCGCGCGCTGCCACCTGCCTTCGGCCGCGCGTCTGCGCTCTTCCAGGAACATGTGGAAACTGCTAGAAGGCACGTCGCTCGGAGTCTTACGATGCTTTTCCACGCCCCCAAGCTCCGCCCGGGTAGCGGAGGAGTCAGGCTGTGAAGTCTTTCCACTGTTCCATCCAAAAAAGTCTGTATTTCCATATGAATTTTATATAGAATAAAATCTTCAATTTAAAAAAAAATGCTGTTTTTTTTTTAATTTAAAAACTAAAAAAATTTTTTTGGTTGTAGAGGAACACAAAACCTTTATTTTATTTACTTTTATGTGGTGTTGAGGATCGAACCTAGTGCCTCATAGTGCAAGACAAACACTCTACCACTGAGCTACCACCCCAGCCCCAAGAATGCTGGGTTTTAAATTGGAATAGCATTGAATACAGATATCAATGCGAAGAATTAGCATTTAACCATTTTGGGGTCTTATAATTCATCAAAGATTTATGTATTTCTGTCTTCTGAAGTTTGACAGTGTTTTGCAAACTCTCAGTGAAAATATTTTACAAGATTGAGTCTTGCACATCATTTTTAAGTGTATTCTTAAATATATTTTTTTAATTTGAAAATTTTTTCTAATTATAATGACAGTAGAATGCATTTTGACACACAATACATAAATGGAGTGTAACTTCTCACTCATTCTTCTGGTTGTACGTGATGTAGAATTGCTATTCTTAAATATATTTAATGTTATTGTTAGTGGAATTGGCTTGGATTCTTTTGTTTTAAAATTGGTGTTTTTACTCCTACATGCAAGTTCAATTGATGGCCAGGCACGGTGGTGCACGCCTGTAATCCCAGCGGCTTGGGAGGCTGACACAAGAGGATCACAGTTCAAAGTCAGTAGTGGTGAGGCTCTAAGCAACAGTGAGGCCCTGTCTCTAAATAAAATACAAAATAGGGCTGGGGATATGGCTCAGTGGTTAAGTGCCCCTGAGTTCAATCACACAATTGATTTTTGTGCATTGGTCTTGTATTCTATGATCTTGTTAAATTTGTATATTATTTCCAGTTTTATTTTGTAGATTCTTTAGGATTCTGTGTATAAGCAACCACACTCTGTGTAGCTGAAAACAAACTTAGTTTTCTTTCTCCCTCAATCTTCACACACTTTTTTCATCTTGCTTAATTGCCCTGCCTAGGACTTTCAGTGTTAAATGTTAAAGTGGTTGAAGCAGACATACTTGTCTTATTTCCAATCTTAGAAGGAAATCATCCAATATCACTGTTAGATAGGATGCTTATTATCAGGTTAAATTCCCTTCCATCCCTAGTTTGTTAAGAATTGTCATCATGAACAGTTGTTGAAATTGGTCAAATGATATTTTTCTGCATCTGTTGAGATGATTTCGTAGTTTTCCTCTCTTACGCCATTAAAATAATCAATGAGTTTGTCTTTCAAATGTTATATCCACTAAATTTCACTTGTGATGTATTATGATGTAAATACATATTGCTAGATTTGACTTGGTAAGGTTGTCCCCCCCCCCCCTTTTCTTTCTTTTTAACAAGATCGAGAATTAAAACTGGCGGGAGCCTGGGGGGGGGCCCTCTACCACTGAGCATATCCCCAGTCCTTTTTTAAAAAACATATGTTTTATTTTGAGGGCTGGGGTTGTGGCTCAGCGGTAGAGTGCTTGCCTAGCACATGCGGGGCCCTGGGTTCGATCCTCAGCACCATATAAAAATAAATAAGCAAAAGGTATTGTGTCCAATCACAACTAAAAAATAAATTATATTTTTTTAAAAACACATATGTTTTATTTTGAGACAGGGTCTCTAAGTTGCCCAGGCTACCCTGGAAATTTAGATCCTGCTGCCTCAGCCCCCCAAGTTGCTGGGAATACAGGCATGTGCACCATGCCCCGCTGGCAATACTTTAAGAATATTTTTTGTCTAAATTCATGATATTGAATATAGATTTATCATTTTCTCCACTATTTTATATCATCTACCTTTTATATCATTGTTCCTATGAATGCACAAAAAATGTTTTATGTACCAAACTTCCTCTTTACCATGGACTGTAATGTTCCTGGGTAGCATTTTTTTTTTTATGTTTATCTTTCTTGGGGGGGAGGGAGTTTCCAAGTTTCTTAATCTGTGAGTTGATGTTTTTCACTGCATTTGAGAAAATATCAGCCTTTTTTTTTTTTTACCCTTCCCCTTTTTTAGCCACTTCTTGGTCTCCATTTCCACATGTAACCCGTATTTTTCTGTAGGTCACTGAGATACTTTTCCTTCATTTCTTTCAGTTCCTTTCTCCTTTCGATTTTTTAAAAAATCTCTCTTCCAGCTCACTTTCTTCTGCTATGTTTAATTTCTCTTATGATTATCCAAGTGAATTTTTCATATCAGATAGTGGAATTGGGGGTTCTAAAATGCCCATTTGGTTCCTGTTTTACATCATATATATGTTGAAATAGTCCATTTTCCCTTCATGTTGACTGTTTTTTTTTTTTTGTTTGTTTGTTTGTTTTTGTTTTGCAGAACCCAACACAACACTGAGTTGCTTAGCACTTTGCTCTTGCTGAGGCTGGCTTTGAACTCGCTGCTGGTGTGTGCCACCTCACCTGGCCCAACATATATTTTAAAAATTCCTTCAAAGTGATTCTCTTGTGAGTCAGCATTAAGAACCACTGGAAGTGAGAGACTTTACCTCGAAGGAAGACCTATTTGAGGAGGAAAAGAGCAGACAGTGTTTATTAGTCCCTTGCTTACAATACTTTTTTAAGAATTTATTGATCATTGATTATGTACCAATCATAATGTCTACAAAGGTTAAAATACGTAGAACCTGCTCCAAGAAACTTGCACTTCTGTAGGGAAACAGTAAAACGGTTATAATAAAATGAAGTATTGACTGGGTGTATTAAGATGTCCATATCCCTATGAGCTTGTATTTTGCTTCAGAGGAAAAAACATGCTTAGAATAAATCAGGAAAAAGGAATAGAGGAGAAGAGAAAGGAAGAAAATCAGGAGGGGCTAGGGTTGCAGCCCAGTGGTAGAGTGCTTGCCTAGCAGGTGTGAGGCCCTGGGTTCAATTCTCAGCACTACATATAAATGAATAAAATAAAGGTCCATTGACAACTAAAAATATATTTAAAAATTACTCAGGAGAATTTCTCAGACTTTATTTACAAAGACAACAGGGGAGATGACATAGACAACAGTAGAAATTTTAGCTACACAAACAATAAACATACCTTCCAAGCCAGATGAACATAAAGCCTCATGCAAAAGTTCTCCTTAGCTCAAGTCCTTTACCCAGTTCATTTTTTCAACAAAATTATGTAAAAATAGTAAAGACACCACGTGGGCTCTCTCTCATCCACAGAACAGGGTAGAGGATAGCACAGTGTGGCTGCAGAGTTGCTAATCAAGACTTCTGAAGACCAAGCAGGAAGCAGGTCTGATTTTATTGCACAGTTACCATGTACATATACTCAGGCAGTAGCTAAGCAGATTACAGGCAGCCACCAAAGCAATTTCAGCTAACGGTCCTTGTATCGAGAAATCGAGGTGCAGGTAGTGGAGCAATCGCAGGACTGCAACACATGGCCTCACACCCAGGGCTGTGCCTATGGGTAAGTGGCCTGCTGCTCACGTGCTCAAATGGAACCACCATTTTACCCAGGTATCCCATTTTTAGGTTTATACCCAAAGGACTTAAAATCAGCATATTACAGTGACAAGGCCACATCCATGTTTACAGCAGCTCAACTCACAATTGCTAAACTGTGGAGCCAACCTAGGTGCCCTGCAACAGATGAATGGATAAAGAAAATGTGGTATACATACAAAATGGAATATTACTCAGTCTTAAAGAAGAATGAAATTATGGCATTTTCAGGCAAATGGAGACTATCGTGCTAAGCGAAATAAGCCATTCCCCAAAATCCAAAGGCCAAATGTTTTCTCTGATTTGTGGATGCTAACTCACAATAAGGGTGGTGGTGAAGGAGTTGAGGGAAGAATAGAGTTACTTTAGATTAGGTAGAGGGGTGTGAAGGGAAGGGAAGTATATGGGGGTAGGAACATAGTAGACTGAATCAGACATCATTATCCTATTGTATATGATTGTACATCATGTACAATCAGAAAAATGAGAAATCGTACTCCATTTATGTATGATATATCATGGTGCATTCTGCTGTCATATATAACTAATTAAAACAAAATTTTTTTTTAAAAAAAGAACAGTGGAAGGGCTGGGGTTGTGGCTCAGAGGTAAAGTGCTCGACTAGCAAACATGAGGCACTGGGTTTGATCCTCAGCAGCATATAAAATACAATAAAGGTATTATGTCCACCTATAACTAAAAAATAGATATTAAAAAAGAACAGTGGAACAATTTTAGAAGGAGTAACATGTAATGGATACCTCGGAAGGAAAAAAAGGTGTGTGTGGGGGGTGGAACAGAAGCAAAATCAATGACCAACACCAGCTTGCAGATCTATGAAATTGTGCAAATAGCAAACAAGAGGGAAAACCCGCCCCGCAAACTACACGTGGACATTCCTCAAGCTGCACATAAACAAAGAAAAAGAAAATATTGAAAGAAGACAGAGATGTACAAGGTCCCAAGCTAGATTCCCCTCTGGGGGTGGGGGGGGGATGGAAATTGAGAGAAAAACCATCTTTCTGCATAAAGCAAAGAAAAGAACATTGTGCTTCTATTGAGGAAAGTATGCAAGCAGGAGGCAGGCTGAGTGAAAGGATGAAGGTCTAGAAGAAAAAAAAATCTACCAACATAGAATTCAGTATCCAGGAAAAATATGAAACAGAACTGAACAAGAAATAAAGGCTCTCTTAGGAAAAAATAAACTGAGAGAATTTGTGGCCCGTAGACCTGCCTTGCAAGAAATGTTTTTGAAAATTTCTTCAGAAGAAGGAAAATGGTGTAAGTCAAAAACTCAGATTTATAAAGGAAAACTAAGAGCACAGAAGGAATAAGTGAAAGTCAGATGAAGTTCTTTAGTTTACTTATTCTTTGTTTTTGGGGTGAGGGGACTATGGACTGGGCATTGAACCCAGGGGTGCTTTACCACTGAGCTACATCCCAAGCCCTTTCGATTGTTTTATTTTGAGATAGGATCTTGCTGAATCTCTGTGGGACTTGATAAATTGCTGAGGCTGGTCTCAGGCTTGGGATCCTCCTGCCTCAGCCTCCTGAGTCACTGGGATTACAGGTGAGCACCACCATGCCTAGCTATTTTATTTATTCTTGCTTGATCTAACAGATAAAGTTTTGTTCAAAGTAATAATAGCAACACTTAATCTAGTAATCATAACTTGTTGATAACTGCAACGAATGATAGCAATGTCATAAGGAATAGAGGGAAGAATTGAGACCACACTGTTTTAAGTTACTTCTACTATTCACAAAGATATGTAGCTGGGGGTATAGCTCAGTTGGTAAAGTGCGTGCCTCAAATGCACAAGGACCTGGGTTCAATCCCCAGCAGCACCACACACACACACACACAAAAAAAAACCACACACACACAAAGGCCAAATTCAAAGGAAACAAACAAGACAGTAAAAATCATGGTAGACAATTAACTGTATCAACAATTATAGTACATCAATGATATAAATCACCTTTTAAAAGATAAATATTCTCAGAGTAAATAAACAAACAAAACTCAACTACATGGTGTTTCAGAAAAAAGTCCAATCAATTTAGGCAAACATTGATTAAAAGCAGATGGATTGAGAAAGATACACTATGTTAACCCTAACCCTGCACACAGATATGATGTAATGTCTGGAATAACCATTCTAGACAGGTGGAATAGCTATATTAATTTCAGACAAAGCAGACTTTAGAGTTTGGAGGTTTATCAGAGATGAAGAGGAGCAATATATAACAACAAGAAGGTTAATTTTCCAGAAAGACATCAAAATTCCTTATGTGTATGCACAGCACAAGACTGACAAGATGTGGGAGGCAGAATCTGATAGAACTGGAAAGAGAAATAGAAGAATCCAGTAGAATCCAATATTATAGATGGAGATTTCAACAGCCATCTATTGATAATGAAAAGACCGAGCTTGTAGAAAATCATTGAGGACACAGTTGAACTCCACACCATCTATCAGCTGGGTCTAATTGACATTCATAGAATATTTCATCCAACAACCAAAGAATACATATTATTGTGAGGCTCCCTTGGAATATTCATCAAGATAGACCATGTTCTGGGCCACAAAACACATATTTACAAAATGTAAAGGATATAAATCATACCAAGTATACTCTCAGACACCAATGGAATTAAACTACAAATGTACAAAAGAAAGATAAAGGGAAAGCCCTAAAATGCTTGGAGAATAAACAACACACTTCTAAATATCATATAGATCAATGAAGAAGATTGAAAAATTAAAAGAAAAATTGAAAATCTACAGCTAACCTAAGCTAGATGCTTTCACACTAAAATCAGGAACAACACAAGAATGTCCACTCACACCATTCCTAGTCAATTTGATCCTAGAAGTTAATGCATACACACTGAGAAGGTAAAAATAAAAATTTCTGATTACAGACGACAGGATCGACTATGTAAAAAAAAAAAAAGCCATAGAATTATCATCATTATCAACAACAAAAAGCTCTTAGAACCAAGAGTCAATTATAACAAGGTTTCAGAATACAATGTTTATACACAAACTCCAATAGTCTTATATATGAGCAATGAGCAAGTGGAACTTGAATTAAAAACATACCATTAATATTTTTGCCAAAAATAGAAAAATGAATACTTAGGCACAAACTAACAAAATATGCACATGACTTAGAAAGTAAGTCTGATATAAAATCTAATAAAAGTCAAAATAAATGGAGAGATAGTCCATGTACATGGAGATGAAGACTCAATATTGTCAAGCTGTGAGTTCTTCCCAATTTCATTTATACATTCCATGCAATTTCACAATGCAGAGAATGAAAAGACAAGTTACAGACTGAGAAACTTGGCTAAATTCTGATCTGATAAGGAACTGGAATCCCAAATATACAAGGGACTCTTAAAATTCAACAATAAATAAATGAAAAACCCAACTTAAAAATGGGTCAAAGATATGAACAGACACTTCAGGTATTTTGTCAGAGCAATAAAGAGCTCACTGACACAGCCTATTATTGCAAAACTTTTCAGCACAATAGTAGTAAATTGCTCCATCAGGATCAAGTGGGATTTATTGCTGGAATGCAGGGATAGTTCGACAGATGAAAATTAATCAATGTAATGAACACATTACAGAATGAAAGGCAAAACCCACATTATCATCCTTGCCTCCATTAATGCAGAAAAATCATTTAACAAAATTCAACAAAAATATTCAACAAACTAGGAATAGAAGAAAATGACCTCAATATAATAAAAGCCATACATGAAAATTTAAAAAGTTGACATATTTAAGAATAAAATGCTAAAAGATTTCGTTATCTGAGGAACAAGACATGAAGTGACACTATTCCATTTCTATTCAAACTAGTATAGACAGTTTTAGCCAGAGCAATTAGACAAGAGAAATAAAGTCATTCAAATTAGAAAGGAAAAATAAAATTATCTCTGTTGTTGATGACATAATCTTATGTGTAGAAAATTCCAAAGATGCTGCAAAAATCAATTAGAATGAATAAACAAATTCAGAGCATTGCAGAAAAATAAGTCAACATAAAAATTGGTTTTTCCTGTACACTATCAATAAACAACCCAAAAAGAGAATTAAGAAAGCAACTCTATTTATAATAGCCTACAAATACCAGAAATAAACCACAGCAGGGAGACAAAAGATCTGTACAGGTAAAACTAAAAAGAAATGAAAGAAAATGTTAGTGAATGAAAAGGTCTTCCATACTCATGGATTACATGACTCAGTATTGCTAGAATGTCAGGATTACTGATGTGTTTTACTCATCTACTCCACTGATATCTTTATGATTTCTGATCCCTACCTGCTCTCCCTTATTTTGCTCTAGCTTTCACATATGAGAGAAAACATTGAATTTCTGAGTCTGGCTTATGTCCATTTACTAGAAAATGCCATAATTTCATTCTTCTTTATGACTGAGCAAAACTCCATTATGGGATAAGAGACAAAGGGGTTGTGAAATTTGGGAGGAGATTCATTTACCTGTTTCCTCATGTTTTCAGAGATCTTGTACAAACACTGAGATGGATTCCCCTTCCTCTTTCATACACAAGTCCTTTCGTGTGTAGTTATCTATTTCATCCTGGGTCTGCTCTCTGTTTTTGATGTGTGAGTAGATATCCATAAGGGAACCTGATGTCCCCCTCTGATTATTCCCTCTTGGGGCCTGATGGCTGGTTTGGGTTTTTTCTCTCCCCAAGTCCATCTGTTGAAGTATTGTTAGATTGTGTGTGGCATTAGATTTGTTGTTACTTGGCTGAGTTGAGGATATTTTTCAGTATCAGGGTCTCTACTCTGTGAACTTAAAATGTCCCAATAACTTTCTAGCCCCTCTTAGGGGAAGCAGAGAGCCAGGGATAGTACTAATGTTAGCAACAGCTGTACAACTTTAAGACAAATGTTCAAAGTCTACTGGGATGTCTATAGCACTAATTGCCACCTATATAGAAAAGGTGGGGTCAGCATTTAACATCAGCACCAACAGTAAAACAAACAAACAAACAAAAAACTGTGGACTAGATCAGGCATTAAGCAGCAGGTATCTACTATATCATCCACTGTATTATTAATCACAACAACACAAATTGGTAGGAATTACATAAACTATATTATTCTATTAGTGGGATTATGGTTTCTTTTCTTTTTTAAAAAAATTTTAATATTTATTTATTTATTTTAGTTTTTGGTGGACACAACATCTTTGTTTGTATGTGGTGCTGAGGATCGAACCCAGGCCGCACGCATGCCAGGCGAGCGCACTACCGCTTGAGCCACATCCCCAGTCCCTTATGGTTTCTTAAGTGAAGAGAAAATAGGGCAGGAAGGCAAGAGAGAGCTTGAAATACTTAGAAATGTGAACAGAGGAGAGGCAGGAGAGAGGTAGAAGGTGATGACTATAAAGAAGGAGGAATAAAAATGTAACTAAAAGTAATTAAAAATGAAAGAGAAGAAGAGAGAATAGGAAAACTTGGTAATTAGTGGTGGAAGAGAGTGAAGAAGAGGCAATAAGGACAAACCTAAGGTACAAACAAACAAGCAAATGTAAGACCTGAACAACTCAAACTGAGGCATAATTATACCCCACCGAAGTCAAACCAAGGCTAAATAATAAACAGATCCCGTGGCAGAAGAAAGCAATTGAAATGAAAGTTAAATTATATGAATATGTATATTTTGCAAAATAAAAAGTAAAAATAATAAAATTATTTTTGAACAAAAATTTTAAAGGGCACAAATATGAAAAAAATAGGGGGAATATGGGGAAACAAAGAAAAAAAAATCTTAATCATGAATAAAGGGCTCCTTTCCACTGAGGTGGTCAAAACTGTTGGCAGAGATGGACTTTCGTTGTTTATATTTATTTTGGGGCTCTGTAACCCTCGGGTCAAGGACAGCGGTTTGCTAAGTTTTGATCTTGTGGATTAGCTCTCAGTAGCTCTCCCAGTGGAGGGTGGATTAACCCATAAATGCTGGCAAACTGCCTTCTCGGAACGGGAGTGGTGAGGCGTCCTAAACTGGAAGCTCCAGCGGCTGGGGTTTAGTCTCGACTGGTCTTTGGAACTCTGTCGGGGGCCTATCTGAGATTTGACCCTTGACCTCTACTGCTGGAGAGGTGCCTCTGGGCAGGACCTCTGGATTTCAGGGGCCTCTGGTAAAACGCACTTTTAGGGCACAGGAAGAACTAAACGTCCCCGGGTTTCACATTCACACTACGACTATGAATGGCGGTGTCAGCCCTTGGGTGCAGATGCTCCGTGTGGCCTTTACGGCGTCTCCCCATAGCTCTCATGGGGCACCAGCAGCTCGGGAGCTTTCTCCTTGGAATCCAGAGCCCGTATGCTCCAGGCACAGTGTTCTTGGGGCCTATTTCAACCACTCCGGTGCAGGCACTCTGGGGATCAGGTCAGGTGACTGCTGGGTTCGCTGGCTGCCTCCTTTAGGAGTCCTCTCTCTCCTCTGGCCGCCGTGCACGGTGCTTATAAGTGGTTCCTGCGCCCACGACTCCAATTCCCGCTCCACTACCTGTCCATGGTGAGCACTTGGGTCAATTTTTACTCAACCACTTCCTCTACCAACTTCTCACAGCTTCCCCAAGCCCATCTCCCCCCATCTGCTGCCCTCTGTCTCTGCCTGAGCTCCCCCCTCCCTTCAGCAGAGGCGACTGTCGCCACTGTCAGTCAAGCTGGTGCGTCTCTGATGGATTATTTCTTTATTATGTTCTCAGTTTCTGCCTCTCTCTATCTCTGTGGTTTCTTTTCAGCCCAGCGTTAAGTTTGTGAGTTCCCTTAGTCACCCACCTCAATGAGCCTC